ATCCATTTTGAGTTTATTTTTGTGAATGGTGTGAGAAAGTGGTCTAGTTTCAACCTTCTGCATGTTGCTGTCCAGTTCTCCCAGCACCATTTGTTAAAGAGACTGTCTTTTTTCCATTGGATGTTCTTTCCTGCTTTGTCAAAGATGAGTTGGCCATACATTTGTGGGTCTAGTTCTGGGGTTTCTATTCTATTCCATTGGTCTATGTGTCTGTTTTTGTGCCACATCTTGGTTTTTAAATGCCATTCTCCATTAAGAGAAAGTAGACATAACACTCCGTATTTGACCAATAGAACAGAACATGATACACGGCAGCCCTACAGATCCTTTGGTTAGAAGCAGAGCCGCTCAGTGTTTGACCACTAGAAAGAACCATGGATCCTTGAAGAAATTGTTAATTCCATCCTTGGGACAGAAAAGCACAAAATGTACCTTGAAAGAACATTTTTCTGTCCCCAAAAAGTAAAGTGCTCAGAGAATGATAGGGAAATGTTGAAGGACACAGAGCCAGTTTGAAGGGCTCCTCCCAACTAAATTTAAGACAATCTGAGCATTAAAATAAATAGTGATAATAAATGATTATAACTTACTGAATAAAATAAGTAAATAAACCCACCTGATACAAATTAATGAATGAGAAGAGAAACCTCTTCATCACAGTAGAAAGCCAACTTATACAAAGAATGATGGGATTAGAAAAGTAAGCAACCATCATAAATGTAATTCATTCAGGCAAGAAGTATCAGTGCCAAAACTAGTGGATGAAAGTTTAAGGAACAAGATATTTACATAGTCTCAAATTATCTCCCCCACAAGATACTTAAAAATTTCAGGATGAAATAGTAATTTTCTAGTAGAAATTGCTGGTAGATAACCACCTGAACCAAATTATCAAAATTGCTGGTAATGGAACGAGTCAATAATGTGTACTTTCTGATAGGATTCACCGAGAATCCGGTATCCCTTCCGTACTACCTCTGCCAAAAGTGTGTGGTGTCAATCTACTTGTGAGGAGACATTAGACAAGACCAGAGTTTTATTCTCAAAATAACTAGCTTATACTTTTCCAAATATCTATCTTATGAAATTTAAAGAAAGGCTCAGTAACTGCTGCAGAGTAAAAGAGACAAAAGAAGACAAATGTAGTACATGGTCTTGAAATTGCTTTTGTTATAAAGGACATTATTAGGACATTTCATGAAATCTGAATTAGTATATAGTTTAGACACAGTATTGTGTCAGTGCTAATTTCCTGATTTTGATCATTGTGCTATTGTTACATAAGAGAATCCCTTGTTTAGAGAGTAAACACTGAATTTTTTAGAGGTAAAGGGGCATCATGTCTGCAACTTACTCTTAAACGGTCCAGGAAAATTATAGAAAGAAAAAGGTAGAGGAGAGGGAGGAATTTTTTTTATTATTGCAGCTTTTCTTTAAGTCTGAAATTATGTCAAAATTTCTTAAGTTTAAAAACTATAATGAGGGGCCCCTGGGTGGTTCAGTCAGTTAAGCATCCAACTCTTGATCTCAGTTCAGGTCATGATCTCACAGTTTGTGAGTTTGAGCTGCAAGTAGGGCTCTGCGCTGAAAGCACGGAGGCTGCTTGGGATTCTGTCTCTCCCTCTCTCTTTGCTCCTGCCCTGCTTATGCACCTGGTCTCGCTCTCACTCTCTCTCTCTCAAATTAAATTTTTTTTTAACGTTTATTTATTTTTTTTGGGACAGAGAGAGACAGAGCATGAACGGGGGAGGGGCAGAGAGAGAGGGAGACACAGAATCGGAAACAGGCTCCAGGCTCTGAGCCATCCGCCCAGAGCCTGATGCGGGGCTCGAACTCACGGACCGCGAGATCGTGACCTGGCTGAAGTCGGCCGCTTAACCGACTGCGCCACCCAGGCGCCCCTCTCTCTCTCAAATTAAATAAACTTTAAATAAAATGAAAAAAAAAAAACAATCTATACAATATGTTACATTTGAGGTAAAAAAAAAAGTGGGAGAAAATAAAAAATCCATATTCATATTTGCATAAAGAATTTTGGGGAAATACACTAAAAAATTATAAATAGTGATTATCTATTGGGAGCAAGAGCTAGATAGAGAGGAAAGAAGCCTGGGAGAGAGATTTTTTTTTACTACCTTTTTATATGTTTTTCTTTATGAACTATATTAATATTAATACGTTATCTACCTAAAAATAGAATTCAAATAAGGATATTTTTTAAAAAGAATAAAATAGAAGAAACAGGTAACCAAGTGCAAAATCATTAGAAGGTATAGAAGGAAATAAAAAGTACTAAATAAAGCACCCAAAAAAGAACTACAAATGCAGGTATTAAAAAATGTAGACTATAATAAATTAATAGTTTTCCTCACCCTGGTACTGCATGCAAGAAGCATGGGGAAAGTAGAATGGAAATTAGAAATAAAAGTCACAAGAGGGAAGATGTTTGTAGAAGCAGAAAACACATCTTTGTGGTATGATGGAAAGAACATACTCTTAGAATAAGATTGAAGATATAATCCAGTTCCTGCTATTTACTAGCTGTATGTCCTTGGATAAATTATTTAATTTCTTCCAGCTTTGGTGACTCATCTCTAAATTGTCTATGTCACTTAATTGAAATATATTTTAAAAGGATATGTTATCAAAGCATGAAAATTAATATAAGTAAAATGCCAGAACTGTTTTTAAATATCGACTATTACCTTATGGGGGAAAGGACTTATTTGTAACACTACACTCATTCTGATGGGTTGAGGAGTTATTATACCCATGAAATGGGTGGTATTTGGTGGGGGTGGGAGACAGGTAGTAAGGGAAGAGGGGGAGGTATATATATTGTTTGTATGTGCCTGTGTTTGTATGGTGTGTCCCTTAAAGCAAAAGGATTGTTAAAAAGCACTGACAGTGGAGGAAATTTAGAAGTCACCCTTTTTTATTTGAATTTCCTACCTGTAACAAGGTAGTTTCTTTTTCTGATCCCCACATGCACCATGTGTCTTCTATTCTCAACCTGTTTGCCCTTGCTGCTTTTTTTTTCCCAACCCACTGGAATACTTTCTCTTAATTCTGTCTGAAATTTAAAAATCTGTTAAGGATCTGTTGAGAATACACAAAATCCACCAACTTGACACCTCCTTACACCTCAGTATTTCTACTGATCCTGGATTCTTTCATTTCTGAAATCTTACAGCATGAATTTCCTATAGTTTTTCAATTGTTTAGGTGAGGAGAGTCTTTCCCTTGCAACAAACTGTAAAAAACTTAAAAGCAAGCATTATTTCATGCATGTCTTTATGTCTGTCTTAAAAGATGATAGGTTGTAATTGTTGTTTTAAAATTTTTGACCTAAATTACTCAAGAGAGAGCCTTGAAGACTGGCAGCTCAACAGTTCAGACATCCTAACCTTTGCCACTGCCACTGTTGCACCTTTGCCCTTTCCCCAAAGGGCCCCTGTAAAAAGCAGTGTCTGGCTAAGCAGGGTGTTCTTGATATTTCAGGAATCACTGACGTTCCAGGATGTGGCTGTGGACTTCACACGAGAGGAGTGGGACCAGCTCTACCCTGCTCAGAAGAATCTTTACCGAGATGTGATGCTGGAGAACTACAGGAATCTGGTCGCACTGGGTAAGGATGTTGCCCCTGTAAAACTAGAAACCATTCTAAAGGGGTTTGTTTCCTTAAGTAGTGAAAATTTCCAAAGCTTTTGTGAATATAGTTCAGGCCAGGACAGAATGCTAATCAATGCTTGGAGACAGAGGACCTTTGTTTCCTGCTGTTTCTCCTCAGGTAAAAGGTCTTGACTTTGTTGAGTTTGAGATGAGTAAGCTTTATTTTGCTGCCTCTGAAGTTTCCCCTTTCCAAATCCAGAGGCTCTAAAGACTAAAAAAGTTGGAAATGAGTTCTGAGAGACAGTTTTGTTCCCAGTATAAACTTCTATGGCATACATTTTTCCTGTGAATAGGGCATCAACTTTATAAGCCAGAGGTGATCTCTCAGTTGGAGCAGGAGGAGCAATGGATGATGGAAAGAGGCAGCTCAGGGGACATTCGTGCAGGTGAGGAGCAAGCATTTGGGTATTTGCTGCTCAGTAAAGAGAAGCAGTCACTTTTGAAATATTCAACTGAGTGTGCTCCAAATCTCTGCCTCTGGGATTTAAAGAATACTGAGGACTTTTTAAATTCAGTTTATGTTTGACTTTTTTCCAAAGTGGAAATGGCTCTTTTTTTCCGATTAAACAGATAATATATACTTACTATTTAAAAATTTACACAACACAAAAGTTACTTTCAAGGTATTAATTTTAACATTCATAAATACCTTGGTGTTGTAAATCTCCACATAACATTTTCTGGTCTTTATTCATACATCCTCTCTCAGTATTCTTTAAATCTTTCCTTTCCATGTCAAAGATCCTCTGCCATTTTTACCTACTTTTCATTCTTTTTCCTTTTATTATCAAACTCTTTAAATTTGCCTAAAACCCATAACCTGAATTTTAATTCTTTAGATTATCTGTGTGATATGACCCCTGTCCTACCTGTACTACTAAAATTGTTTACTTGGAGATTACCGCTAACTTTCTATCAGTCAAATCCAGTGGCAAAAAAAAAAACAAAAACAAAAACAAAAAAAACAAAAAAACCCACAACGGTTATTGTCTCCTATGACTTTGTTGCATTCACTTTGCTTTCTTGAAATTTTCTTCCACCCTGGCTTGTGATACACACAATTCTTGTCTCTTGTAGTCTCAGTCTTGTATCTCTACCTGCTTCTTTCACTACCTTCTGTCCCTTTTCATTCTTCTAAAGGTATGTATTCCTACAGACGTGGTGCTCAAGTCTGCAGTACATCACTTTAAAATAGCCCTTCTGTGTCCTTTTCCCATGTCTATATTTCTAGCCTCAGTATTTCACTCACATTCTCTTCCCAGATTTCAGATTATATTTTTGTTTATGAATGTCATGCCATTATTTTAATTATTTCAAAACCTGGATTTGTTGACTTTATACTCTCTCTTTAAAGTATCTCTTTATTTTTATTCAATATATGAAGTTTATTGTCAAACTGGTTTCCATACAACACCCAGTGCTCATCCCAAAAGGTGCCCTCCTCAATACCCACCACCAACCCTCCCCTCCCTCCCACCCCCCATCAACCCTCAGTTTGTTCTGTTTTTAAGAGTCTCTCATGCTTTGGCTCTCTCCCACTCTAACCTCCTTTTTTTTTTCTTACCTCCCCCATGGGTTTCTGTTAAGTTTCTCAGGATCCACATAAGAGTGAAAACATATGGTATCTGTCTTTCTCTGTATGGCTTATTTCACTTAGCAGAACACTCTCCAGTTGCATCCATGTTGCTACAAAGGGCCATATTTCATTCTTTCTCATTGCCACATAGTAGTCCATTGTGTATATAAACCACAATTTCTTTATCCATTCATCAGTTGATGGACTCTTTAAATGAGAGGCTTCTTAACCAAAAAACCTGAAAAGCTTAGCTCTCTATTGTTGGCATACCACCTACAGTGTTCTGCCCAGTTATATTAGCAAGTAGTTGTATGTTAAACGTATGCCAGACACTGAGTTAGGTATTTTTCACTCTGGTTTATTAAGTCAAGTTAACCTACCCCGTCTGTGTCTAGTGTCCACCCTGATTCTTTGCTCTGGCACCTGGTTTTCCCATTTAGACTTGGTTTTCTGTCATTCAGTCTTCAGCTTATTTTTCAGTGTGGCTTTGACTTGGCTGTCCTTCTTGCTTTTAGTTCTCCAGGTCATGTTAGGTAGGAATCCTTGTTCCTGTTTTAGTCTCATTGAACCTTAATTTTGGTCTGACCAGTGCTGCCATTCCATAAGTAGAGGCTAATAATTAAAACATTTTTTCAGGAACCCTAACACTTTCCCTGACAACAGTAGGTGATGTTATTTCTATGAATTTCCACACTTTGAAACCTGGGAAGTAGGAAACTAAAGGAAGAAAATGAAAACTCCCTTCCCAGGTGAATTGCCAGCATAGGAACTTACAGCAGAAGGCAAATCTATTCTTTCCCTCAGGTACATATTTTTCCCCACAGACATATCCATTTGTAAGATCCACACTCTTTCCCATGATGTGCCTATCTACAGACCCCCAGCTAGAGAAAATAATTGCTAACTTAGGAAATTTTCCAGAAATTATTATGTGGATGCCTAAGGCTCTTGGTTCACAGATCAGCTTGAACAAGTGATTTCCTCATATCCTCCTTGTCAGGAATCAGCAGCCTGGCAGTCTCCTCCAAGAAGACAGATTGCATTTTTGCATTATCCTGTAAGACACTGAGACACAGTGACTGGTTCCTCTGATGAGGATGTGGCAAAACATTTCCATTGATGAACTGATCTAATTCTGGCTTGCCCTCTGGGTTACTGCTTGCCTTTTTGGCATCTACTGATGCCTATTTATCTAGAAATCTCTTCCAGATGAAGATGAGACCTGGAAAATGTCCAGTGGACTTAGAAACAAAGAAGTTAATAATTATATTAATAAGAGTGATTATATAAGAATGATCAGTTAGTACATTTTGAGTGAACAGGAAGTAAACAGGTAGAGCTGGGTATGCAGTACTCTTATAAGAAGCTAGAATAATAAAGGGAGACAATAGAAAGCATATGCTAGAATAGAAGCTAGTGTCCAAAGAAGATTGTTCCAAGCAGGAATGGTTTTAGCTTGTTTGTAATGCTGAAGGGGAGGAGTTAATAGAGGGGGTAATTAGAAAATAGATACAAATTATGAAGCAAGGTTCTAGAAGAGATGGGAGTGGGATAGGAAAGAAGGAGGTGAGGGTGATTTTTTATGTAAATAATTTTGTTGAAGAAAGATTTGGGAGAGTTCACAATGGTTATTTCTATTTTCTCGGCAAAGTAGGAGGCAAGGTTGTCTTTTGAATATAAAGGAATCGGGGAAGGGTAAGTACAGAACTTGAGGAGCACTTGCTTTAGCTTACTAAGGTCAACAGAAACTGACCAAAAATGAATCAAGAGATTACCAAGCAGCTTTGAGGGTCCAGATGAGATTTTGCCCCATGCATTTGTGGTTTCCAGTAACTATGCATATATTTGCCATTTCTCCCATTCTACTTGGCACTAGAAAGGCTTTTTTTTTTTATTTTTTTAACGTTTTATTTATTTTTGAGACAGGGATAGACAGAGCATGAACAGGGGAGGGTCAGAGAGAGGGAGACACAGAATCTGAAACAGTCTCCAGGCTCTGAGCTGTCAGCATAGAGCCCGATGCGGGGCTCGAACTCAGGGACCGAGAGATCATGACCAGAGCCAAAGTCGGCCGCTTAACCAACTGAGCCACCCAGGCGCCCCTGGAAAGGCTTTGTAGAGCCCAGGCTGAGAGCCTGTCAGACTGGTGGAACTGAAGGAGGAAACCTGAGAGAGAGTTTGTTAATTCAGGTGAGTTGACATAGAGTCCATAAAGTGACAAAAAGTAAAGTAAGGCCTGAAGAGGACTGGAAACTAGAAAACAACAGACAAGTCAAAGCAGCAGAGGTCTTGATGAGATTAGAAAGCAGGTGGAGAGTGAATAAGGCCATAGTCTACTCACTGAGCCAGAGAGTGTGACACTGAGTTCGAGATTCCTTGTATGGATCAAAGTTCAGATATAACTGTATAGCCAGGTAAATAATTGTTGAAATGAGATGAAGGTAAAAGCACAAACAACTACCAGTTATAAAATAAGATGGAAGAGAAGAGCCCAATTAATAGTAACTAAAAAGATAAAACACATAGAAATAAACTTTTAACAAGAAGTGTGCAACACCTGCATGAGGAGAACTTTAAAACACTGACAGACACAAAAATAAACTTGAATAAGTAGACATACCAAGATGTCAGTGTTCCTAATACACATGTAATGTCATCCCATAAAAAGTGCCTTCAAGATTTTGGGGGAATCTTAGATAAGCTCATTCTAAAGTTCATATTGAAAAACCAAAACACAAAAATAATCTGGAAAACTCTGAAAGGAAAACAATGAGGGGTTATCTCAACTAGATAATATATAGCAAAAGTTTATTAAGCAAAACAAGGCAACCAACTGAACAGAATAGAAAATCCAGAAATAGACCTAGATGTATGCAGGGGTTTAGTATCTGTTAAAGGCATTATTTCAAATTAGTAGGGAAAAGGTACACATCTTAGTAAAATGATATTGAGATAACTGGTATTTAAGAGGTAGACCTTTTTTTTTTTTTTTTGAGTATAATTGACACACAATGTTACATTAGTTTCAGGAGCACAGCTTAGTGAATCATCTTTATGCTGTGCTTACCACAATTGTAACTATAAAAGGTAGACCTTTTAATGAATATTGAGTAGTCATCTGGAAAAAGATAAAGTTGGATCCATAGCTTACCCCTTAAACTAAGATACTCCAAAAGAATCAGAGACGTTAAATGTAAAACATGAAACCATAAGAGCATGGAAGAAAACATAGGAGAAATCTTTTATAACCTTGAAATGGGGAAGTCATTTCTGACTATGATTCAAAATCTAGAAGCCATAAAAGAAAAGATTTATACTTTCAACAGACACAAATCCCCAAATTCTGCATGGTATAGAATAATAAGCAAAGTGAAAAGGTAAATGGCAATGGTTGGGGTGGGGGGGAATATTTGCAATTTATATCAAAAGGGCTAAGCTCCCATTAACAAAAGGCTCCTGGGGTGCCTGAGTGACTTGGCTGGGTGTCTAACTCTTAGTTTCGGATCAGGTCATGATCTCATGGTTCACGGGTTCCAGCCCTGCATCAGGCTCTGCACTATCAGTGCAGAGCCTGCTTAGGGTTATCTCTCTCCCCTCCCTCAATCACGCTCTCTCTCTCACTCTCTCAAAATAATCTAATCTAGCCTAATTTTAAAAAGGCTCCTCTAAATCAATAAGAGGCCAACAGCGCAATAGAAATATACACATGTGTACTAGCCCTTTGTCCGATATGTCATTTGCAAATATCTTTTCCCATTCCGTTGGTTGCCTTTTAGTTTTGTTGGTTGTTTCCTTTGCTGTGCAGAAGCTTTTTATCTTCATAAGGTCCCAGTAATTCACTTTTGCTTTTAATTCCCTTGCCTTTGGGGATGTGTCGAGTAAGAGATTGCTACGGCTGAGGTCAGAGAGGTCTTTTCCTGCTTTCTCCTCTAAGGTTTTGATGGTTTCCTGTCTCACATTCAGGTCCTTGATCCATTTTGAGTTTATTTTTGTGAATGGTGTGAGAAAGTGGTCTAGTTTCAACCTTCTGCATGTTGCTGTCCAGTTCTCCCAGCACCATTTGTTAAAGAGACTGTCTTTTTTCCATTGGATGTTCTTTCCTGCTTTGTCAAAGATGAGTTGGCCATACATTTGTGGGTCTAGTTCTGGGGTTTCTATTCTATTCCATTGGTCTATGTGTCTGTTTTTGTGCCACATCTTGGTTTTTAAATGCCATTCTCCATTAAGAGAAAGTAGACATAACACTCCGTATTTGACCAATAGAACAGAACATGATACACGGCAGCCCTACAGATCCTTTGGTTAGAAGCAGAGCCGCTCAGTGTTTGACCACTAGAAAGAACCATGGATCCTTGAAGAAATTGTTAATTCCATCCTTGGGACAGAAAAGCACAAAATGTACCTTGAAAGAACATTTTTCTGTCCCCAAAAAGTAAAGTGCTCAGAGAATGATAGGGAAATGTTGAAGGACACAGAGCCAGTTTGAAGGGCTCCTCCCAACTAAATTTAAGACAATCTGAGCATTAAAATAAATAGTGATAATAAATGATTATAACTTACTGAATAAAATAAGTAAATAAACCCACCTGATACAAATTAATGAATGAGAAGAGAAACCTCTTCATCACAGTAGAAAGCCAACTTATACAAAGAATGATGGGATTAGAAAAGTAAGCAACCATCATAAATGTAATTCATTCAGGCAAGAAGTATCAGTGCCAAAACTAGTGGATGAAAGTTTAAGGAACAAGATATTTACATAGTCTCAAATTATCTCCCCCACAAGATACTTAAAAATTTCAGGATGAAATAGTAATTTTCTAGTAGAAATTGCTGGTAGATAACCACCTGAACCAAATTATCAAAATTG